GGTTCAATGCTGGTTTAGTCTTGGTTCAGTCCTGGTTTGGACCTGGTTTAGTCCTGGTTTAGTCCTGGTTTAGTCCTGGTTCAGTCCTGGTTTAGTCCTGGTTCAGTCCTGGTTTAGACTTGGTTTAGTCCTGGTTCAGTCCTGGTTTAGTCCTGGTTCAGTCCTGGTTTAGTCCTGGTTCAGTGCTGGTTTAGTCCTGGTTCAGTCCTGGTTTAGACTTGGTTCAGTCCTGGTTTGGACCTGGTTTAGTCCTGGTTCAGTCCTGGTTTAGACATGTTTAAACAGAATCGTATTAAAAAATCATTTACAAATATAATCACCAGAACAAGCGAAATTTGATGATTTTTTTCCCCCGTTTTTTTTCCGTCCCTTGCGTCGTCGTCGGTTTCCCGCTGGTTTCTCTCCTCTCCGCGCGCTGACCTCACTTCACATTTGGAACGTAACGCGCATCCTTCATCCAAACGTGTGGAAATAATATCAGTGTTCAGAGACACTAGACGGCATCTGTCAGAGCTCGACGCCTGGACACTGACAGACTGATGTACGAGCGAATAACAGTGAAAAACAGAAATCCTTAAAGTGTCACATTAGACTCGCCATTTCACTAAAACATACTCAACATCACTATATTTAAGGGTTTAGATGATCGTTATTTGAGTTTCTTGTTGGTTATGGCAGCAGGTATGACATATTTAGAGATAATCTGGTAATACTAACAAGGGCCAACACTTGTAATAACTCCAAAATTTAAGATATAAACACTTAAATCTATCAGAAAGTGACTTATGAAATGATGTGTTCATGCGGCAAGATAATTTTACTTGACAAGTTATCGTAAAATAAACAACCTCTAGACTAGAATTAAGCATCTCAGAACTATTAAGTAGAAAATAAATCCGAAAACAAGATGAATAACCCGAAATAAGTTCTAAAATCTTGGCCAGATCAGAGGAATTTGCAGTGAATAGATCTTTTTCACAACAGCCAGAATGTCTATGGCAAAATATATATATATTATATCTTTACAATTTTATTTATAAATTTCGATAGCACATTACAGAGTATGTATGCCAAACATCATATTTATGCAATTTTTTCCAAAAATAACCCCAAGAAAAAACAAAACAAAGAACAAAAAATTAAAAATTAAAAATAAAATAAATGAATAATAATAGCAATAGTAATAGTAATAATAAAAGATAAAGTAAAAAAAAAAAAATATATATATATATATATATATATATATATATATATATATATATATAATATATATAATATATATATATATATATATAATAATAATAATAATAATAATAACACTATGGCAAAATATTTGTGGAAATATCTGGCAAACTGTACCAGCTTCATAAATCTTTCCCATCACCAAATCTTCAACCAACAAGGTCCACAAAGATAAACATTCTAACATGAAGAATTTATCCACAACTATCAAGGTAAAAAAGACAAAAACTTAGAACAGACCTGGGCATTGTGCAGCTCCAGGACCACATACGGATCTTTGGTTGACTCTGACCGGCCCATTTAAGATCATTTGGAATTACACAATAAATATATTTTCACTAGATAGGACCACACCAACAACGACATAGTGTGAAGAAGTTTATTGATCATGTACGAAGCGGGACAGAGATGCCGGGTTGAGACTCTAGGCGGGGGCTCCGTCTCAATCTTCAATTGGCCCAGTCGACGGGACCAAACCCTTGTTGGCGTCTTATGACTGAAAGACAGAATAGGGGATGGGAAGGTGGGGTCGAGTTCACCGAGACAAACTGGGATGATGGGAAAGGCTGATACATACAGGCTTCTGGGAAATTAAAGGCATGGTGGAGGTGAGTTGTGGTTCGCTGGTGAGAGGAGAGGGCGGCTGAGGCGTGGTCCTGCTCCTGAATCTCACTTAATCATATTAACTACATTTATAGATGAAGAAAAAAAGGCAGAGCGCTTCATTGGGCCTTAAAAGAGTAAAAAATAGCAGTACGCGTCCTCTACGAGGGTTAAAACAGTGGTTTTGAACAGAAAATTACCCTTACTGGAAAATGGGCAAAGTGCTGACACCACTTTGTCCTGACGAAGACCATCTTGCCGGTCTTCATGTAATAAAGGACTTTTAATATATTCAGTCCGAGTGCCTCGGGTTTGTACCTTACCCACTGTTACATTTTCCAGTAAGTGAGGAGAAAATTCAGTTTGTCGACTGGACAAAAGTTTTGAGTCGACAAACGGCTGAGGGATTCTTCACATTTTCCAGTAAGGGTAATTTTCTGTTCAAAAAAATATATATTTTATAATTTTACCTCATGCAGGGACTGAAGCTGCATGACTTTTATGTTAGAGGTGTGTTTTTAAAATGACAGTTTTTGTAAGGCAACCTCACTTTTTCATTACATAAACTCTTATCACTCTTACCAGCACGTCAAAACAACGCTTTTTATGAAGAAGTACAATTAATATTATGCAGAATGATCATGAGCTCTGGGTAGTGACCGAAAGGACAAGATCACAGATACAAGCGCTCGAAATGAGTTTCCTCCGCAGGGTGTCTGGGCGCTCCCTTAGAGACAGGGTGAGGAGCTCAGTCACACGGGAGGAGCTCGGAGTAGAGCTGCTGCTCCTCCACGTTGAGAGGAGCAGCTGAGGCTCGGGCATTTGTTCCGGATGCCTCCTGGGCGTCTCCCTCAGGAGGTGTTATGGGCATGTCCCATCAGGAGGAGGCCCCGGGGAAGACCCAGGACACACTGGAGGGACTATGTCTCTCGACTGGCCTGGGAACACCTCGGGGTCCCCCTGGAGGAGCTGGAGGACGTGTCTGGGGTGAAGGAAGTCTGGGAGTCCCTGCTTAGACTGATGCCCCCGTGACCCGGCCCCGGATAAGAAAATGGATGGATGGATTATGCAGAATTGAGTTAAGCATTTTGGCCTGACCCTGCACAGCATTTTCTGTTTCTCATGTGGCTCCATGGAAAAAACGATTGCCCACTCCTGCTTGAAGGCGAACAGCGACGAGCATTAAGATTCTACTCCTGAGCAAAACTAACGTTACGGTCATGAATAAATCATTAGTAACTTAATAACTCGTAAGTCATAACTCATAACTTCATGATGTAGATATTAGAGCACATAGACAGATTTGTGCAGTTCAGATGCTGGAGATTTAATCTGTGAACATGTCCAGCCAGACTTTTCCACAGACATTTGAAAACCATTAACGGGAAGTTCCGCATCCCCACAGCGCAACACTTCAGGCCCTTCTGAAGAAAGTTCTGTTGCACAATACTTCTGATTTGATTAGAAGTGGTAGAGTAGCCAAAAAATGTATTCAAGTAAGAGTAACGCTGCTCCAAAATAAGTATAAATAATCAAGCTGAAGTACAAAGTCGTGGTCCAGGAAATCACTCAAGTAAGAGTAAAAAAGTATTTGGGAAAACTACTACTCCTTAAGTAAGAGTAACTAAGTCTGGGCGTAACGTGGGACTTAAAAATTGGAAGTCGATGTAATTCTAATACCAAAAAATTGAGCAATGTTTGGTAATCTGGTGTTTTGAAATGATACATAAAAACGAGACAAACTAAATCATATCTGACGGAGCGCCGCAAGAAACACAAATGCTCAAATCATTATCAGCGTGCGGTCCAAAAACGACTTCGAAAAGCGCCATTTCTGAAAAGTTGCTCAAGAAAATTAAACAGTAAAACGTCTTTCTTGCGTGTAAATTGTCTCTGCGCTTCGGATGGAATTTTTAGAGTTTTAAATCGCAGCACCACTTCTTTTCTTTCCAGCGTTTTTCCATATGTTTCTCCCACTTAACGGATGTAAAACTGTTACACGTATCGCTTACGTTTCCCGCCAAACCAAGTCAGAAACACCTCATGAACACGTCTTATGCCACAGGTGTCAAACATAAGGCCCGGGGGCTGGATCCGGCCCTCCAAGACCTTTAATCTGGCCCTTGGGTGATTTTCTACTAAAATATTTTAATGATATTTTCTATTCAAATATTGGTAATTTTCTGTGGTGTTTATCACAGCAGCGTCTCCAGCGTCTCTGTACGTGGCCCCTCCCACCAGAGCAGCACAAATGAAGACTTGTCTCTTTCCAAACGCTCTTAAAGGACGATCGTTTTGACTGTTGACCGTGACACCCTCATCAGAAAAATGTCCAACATGAGAAAAGTGGAGCCGAGTGCAGGATTTTACAAGAAAAATTTACTTATTCCTATTTACATACAAGTTATTGTTAAAACTTTGTGTTGAAATTGAATTTTTCTTAAAGTTTCAAGTTGTTCATAATATTCATCCATCCATCCATTTTCATCCGCTTATCCGGGCCGGGTCGCGGGGGGAGCAGCCTAAGCAGGGACTCCCAGACTTCCTTCACCCCAGACACGTCCTCCAGCTCCTCCGGGGGGACCCTGAGGCGTTCCCAGGCCAGTCGAGAGACATAGTCCCTCCAGCGTGTCCTGGGTCTTCCCCGGGGCCTCCTCCCAGTGGGACATGCCCGGAACACCTCCCGAGGGAGGCGCCCAGGAGGCATCCGGAACAGATGCCAGAGCCTCAACTGCTCCTCTCAACGTGGAGGAGCAGCGGCTCTACTCCGAGCTCCTCCCGTGTGACTGAGCTCCTCACCCTATCTCTAAGGGAGCGCCCAGCCACCCTGCGGAGGAAACTCATTTCGAGCGCTTGTATCCGTGATCTCACTACCCAGAGCTCATGACCATAGGTGTTCATAATATTATAATATTATAATAAGAAAGAGTTCATCAATTAAAAAAGATTTCTGTAATAGATTTGTGTTTCTCTGCACAAATATTTGAACTTATTGTTATTTTTGGGGTTTATGTGACATGAGTTTTCTGATCCGGCCCCTTTGAGATCAAAGTAGGTTGGATACGACCCCCGGACCAAAATGAGTTTGACACTCCTGTCTTATGCGCTTTACGATCTCAAACCCGTGTTGTTTCGTCTTCTCTCGTGTGTTGTAGGTGGATTACAAAGCGGACGAGTGGCTCATGAAGAACATGGACCCGCTGAACGACAACGTGGCCACGCTCCTGCACCAGTCCACGGACAAGTTTGTGGCCGAGCTCTGGAAAGACGGTGAGGAAGTGAATTTAATGGCTGTAGTTTAATCTGAGCTGGAACTGGCCGTTTAAGTGTCAGATTCCAGATTTGTCGACCTGGTTTACGGTTCATGTTTCTGTAACGATTGAACCGATCAACGTGAAACAAAAACTGACACAAAGTCCAATGTCGTCTCCGTCCGAGCAGTGTTGGGGAGTAACAGATTACATGTACCGGAGTTAATGTAATCAGAGTACAAATGATGAGTAACTGTATTCAGTTACAGTTACTGTTTCAGTGAGTGGTAATTGGATTACAGTTACTTGGTTGAAATAAATGGATTACACGGCGGGATTTTCCTGTTTTCAAATTTTGGGCTGAACCAGGACTAAACCAGGACTAAACCAGGACTGAACCAGGACTAAACCAGGTCTAAACCAGGTCTAAACCAGGACTAAACCAGGACTAAACCAGGACTGAACCAGGACTAAACCAGGTCTAAACCAGGTCTAAAACCAGGACTAAAACCAGGTCTAAACCAGGTCTAAACAAAGTCTAAACCAGGACTAAACCAGGTCTAAACCAGATCTAAACCAGGACTAAAACCAGGACTAAACCAGGTCTAAACCAGGTCTAAACCAGGACTAAACCAGGACTAAAACCAGGACTAAACCAGGACTGAACCAGGACTAAACCAGGTCTAAAACCAGGTCTAAACCAGGACTAAACCAGGACTAAACCAGGACTAAACCAGGTCTAAACCAGGACTGAACCAGGACTAAACCAGGACTAAATCAGGTCTAAACCAGGACTAAACCTGGACTAAACTAGGTCTAACCCAGGTCTAAACCAGGACTAAACCAGGAGTAAACCAGGACTAAACCAGGTCTAAACCAAGTCTAAACCAGGTCTAAACCAGGTCTAAACCAGGACTAAACCAGGACTAAACCAGGTCTAAACCAGGACTAAACTAGGTCTAAACCAGGACTAAACCAGGACTAAACCAAGTCTAAACCAGGTCTAAACCAGGGCCAATTTAAAGAGAACAAACATGAATTTTCAGGATGTGGTTGGTACATTCATCAAGTAATCCAAAGTATTCAGATTACATTACTCACTTTAAGTATTTTAATGGATTACGTTACAAACTACATTTTGGTGTGTGTAATCTGTAATCTGTAGGGGATTACATTTTAAAAGTAAACTTCCCAACACTGTCCGTCAGTATTGATAAATTAAAGTGAAATTATTTTTCCACAGTAGCTTCAGAAAGTGATGTCGTTATTCAACCCAAAAGACGTGATTGTCGTCAGCTGAAAGGACTTTAAAGGTGCATTGTGTAACTTTTCTAGGGGAGGGTCTGTCACTCAAATGCTTTTCTCTATGGAGACGCTACACATGACAGACAGAATCTTATCTCAACCAGTCAGTCAATCAAATATATTTGTATAGCACGTTTAAAACAGCCAAAACTTACCAAAGTGCTGAACAACATTTACAGCGGAATAAAAACATACTCTAAAGAAAACTAACAATATAATAACACAAAAACGATGCCAAGGTGTCTCCAAACTCCGGACAAATGCCAAAGAGAAAAGGTGCGTTTGGAGCAAGGATTTACGAAAAAGAAAAGTGATTTGGTCCCTCTGCTTTTTTCAGTTTTCTGTAGACCTTTTTCACTGCGACTGGAAGTGTCCCTCTGTAGATTTGCGGAACTTCCGCTTAATGGTTTTTCTGTGGCAAAATATCTGCGGAAATGTCTGTCTTATTCTCCAGCAGCTTCGTAAATCTGCTCCATCACCAAATCTTCAACCAACAACGTCCACAAAGGATAAACATGAAGAATTTATCCACAACTATCGAGGTACAAAGACGAAAACGTAAAGGAGAACGACGACGACGCGTTTGTGAACTACTGAACAAAACTAATGTTATGGTCATGAATAAAACAGAAGTGACTTGTTCACTCAGATTGATTCTAAAATTAAAATAAAAAATCGATTTCATGATGTTGATATTAGTACAGATAGATTGATTTGTGCAGTTCGAATGCGAGACATCTCTTGGACCATGAAGTTAGTTTTGCTCAGTAGTTCACTAACACGTCGTCGTTGTTCTTCTTTAAGTTTTCGTCTTTCTTACCTTGACAGTTGTGGATAAATTCTGTCCTTCTTCCTGCGGGATTTGGTGACACGTCGCAACCAAATAGCAGCGATTGGTTGAATAAAAAAAGTACCCGCCTACCGTCGAGCGAACGAATCCTAACGCTGTGAGGTCAGACGGTTTCCACGAAGTGAGACCGGCTGATGAATCAGGCTCGTTGATATGAGCATAGATAGATACATTTGTGCAGTTAGAATGCGAGACATCTCAAAGAAACAATAACGTTAGTTTTGTTCAGTAGTTCACTAATGCGTCGTCGTTGTTCGCCTATAAGTTTTCGTCTTTCTTCCCTTGATAGTTGTGGATAAATTCGTTCATGGAAGAATGTTTATCCTTTGTGGACTTTGTTGGTTGATGGGGCAGATTCATTACCCGGTTTCACTTCGTAGAAACCGTCTGACCTCACAGCGTTCAGAATTCGTTTCGCTCGACAGTAGGCGGGTACTTTTTTCATTTAACCAATCGCTGTTATTTGGTCATGACGATGTATGTAATGCACCAAATCCCGTAGGAAGAAGGACAATAACGTCTTTCCTCTTGATAAAATTCACCAAACATTCTCTTTGTTCCAGCTTTAAATCCTCGATCTCTAGAATCGTTGCCAACACAGAATGTACGGCTCTTCGCTGATTGGCTGGTGCCCGAACTCGCACTTCCGGCGTTTTTGCGAAATCTTCCGATTCTTGACCTATTCGCTGGAGAGAAATGAAATTGAGCTGAGGCTTGCCACAGAAAAACATTCACCAGAAGTTCTACAAAGCTACAGCGCAGGGCTTCCGGTCATTGTGGAAAAAAAAGTCGATTAGATTAGGGTGAGTTTTTGCAATTACCAACACGAACAGATACACTTAAAGCATTATGTTCGCGTGTGTATGATTTATGAGAAAACATTAGGCATTTTTAAGCAAACCACAGAGATTTTTCCCCCTCTCGTCTGGAGGTAGACGAGGTGTGATGTCATGTCTCTGAGGGGTGAAATATAAATCATGAAATAAAGACTCCGGTAGAGGCTTTTCCTGCTGCACTCTTTGGACACTTCATGTTTTATGGAGTGTTCAGAACCTCACCGAGCCCGTGTCAGATCACCCGGGCTTTTACTCAACTCAAATCCACTGCTCCGAGACATTTTCCAGTCTGTTATATATTTTTATCTGCGACCTGTCGTCTGGCAGGGGGAATGAAGCTTAAAGGGGCTGTATCTGATCTGTAGGTTTTCATGTAATAAAGTAAAACCGCTCTTTCCATAGTACAGGTACATTATTATATTTTAAGTCACTTTCAGGGGTAAAATGAGATCGCTATGTGCTACAGTATCATCAAAGTGTGGTATTGTCCGCAAACCAGGAAGTGCGCCGTTAGCATGGTAGTTGTTTTTAGCATTACTGTAAGCAGCAAAATTCCACTCTGGGTCCTGAAAGTGGTGAAAAGTGCCCATGAACTTATAGACCAGGAGTGTCAAACTCATTTTGGTCCGGGGGCCGTATCCAACCTACTTTGATCTCAAAGGGGCCGGATCAGAAAACTCATGTCATATAAACCCCAAAAATAACAATAAATTCAAATATTTGTGCAGAGAAACACAAATCTATTACAGAAATCTTTTTTAATTGATGAACTCTTTCTTATTATAATATTATAATATTATGAACAACTTGAAAGTTTAAGAAAAATTCAATTTCAACACAATGTTTTAACATGAACTTGTTTGCAAGGAATAAGTCAATTTTTCTTGTAAAATCCTGCACTCGGCTCCACTTTTCTCATGTTGGACATTTTTCTGATGAGGGTGTCACGGTCAACAGTCAAAACGATCGTCCTTTAAGAGCGTTTGGAAAGAGACAAGTCTTCATTTGTGCTGCTCTGGTGGGAGGGGCCACGTACAGAGACGCTGGAGACGCTGCTGTGATAAACACCACAGAAAATTAACAAGATTTTAATAGAAAATATCATTAAAATATTTTTGTAGAAAATCACCCAAGGGCCAGATTAAAGGTCTTGGAAGGCCGGATCCAGCCCCCGGGCCTTATGTTTGACACCTGTGTTATAGACCTTTATCACAACGGTCACAAGTTGCAGTTAATGTTTTTTTTGTGGCAAAATGAGAGATGCGCGGATTGAGGTTACAGCCGCGGTGTCAGCGACTAAAGCGCGGGTCGGGCGGATGATGTGACGAAAAATAATATGTATGTATAATATAGTCGAACCTCGGATTCAGGAGGAGCAGTGTGGTTTTCGTCCTGGCCGTGGAACACTGGACCAGCTCTACACTCTCCATCGGTGCTCGAGGGTTCATGGGAGTTTGCCCAACCAGTCCACATGTGTTTTGTGGATCTGGAGAAGGCATTCGACCGTGTCCCTCATGGTGTCCTGTGGGGGGTGCTCTGGGAGTATGGGGTCCGGGGCCCTTTGCTAAGGGCTGTCCGGTTCCCTGTATGACCGGAGCAGGAGCTGTGTTCGCACTGCCGGCAGTAAGTCAGACCTGTTCCCGGTGCATGTTGGACTCCGCCAGGGCTGCCCTTTGTCACCGGTTCTGTTCATTGTATTTATGGACAGAATTTCTAGGCGCAGTCAGGGGCCGGAGGGGGTCCGGTTTGGGGACCACAGGATTTCATCTCTGCTGTTTGCGGACGATGTTGTCCTGTTGGCTTCATCGAACCAGGACCTGCAATGTGCACTGGGGCGGTTTGCAGCCGAGTGTGAAGCGGCTGGGATGAAGATCAGCTCTTCCAAGTCCGAGGCCATGGTTCTCGACCGGAAAAAGGTGGCTTGCCCTCTCTGGGTGGGTGGGGAGTCTTTGCCTCAAGTGGAGGAGTTCAAGTATCTCGGGGTCTTGTTCACGAGTGAGGGAAGGACGGAACGTGAGATTGACAGGCGGATCGGTGCAGCTTCGGCAGTGATGCGGTCGCTGTATCGGACCGTTGTGGTGAAGAGGGAGCTGAGTCGAAAGGCGAAGCTCTCGATTTACCGGTCAGTCTTCGTTCCTACTCTCACCTATGGTCATGAGCTCTGGGTAGTGACCGAAAGGACGAGATCGCGGATACAAGCGCTCGAAATGAGTTTCCTCCGCAGGGTGGCTGGGCGCTCCCTTAGAGACAGGGTGAGGAGCTCAGTCACACGGGAGGAGCTCGGAGTAGAGCCGCTGCTCCTCCACATCGAGAGGAGCCAGTTGAGGTGGCTCGGGCATCTGTTCCGGATGCCTCCTGGGCGCCTCCCTCGGAAGGTGTTCCGGGCATGTCCCGCGGGGAGGAGGCCCCGGGGAAGACCCAGGACACGCTGGAGGGACTATGTCTCTCGGCTGGCCTGGGAACGCCTCGGGGTCCCCCCGGAGGAGCTGGAGGACGTGTCTGGGGTGAAGGAAGTCTGGGAGTCTCTGCTTAGGCTGCTGCCCCCGCGACCCGGCCCCGGACGAAAAATGGATGGATGGATGGATGTATAATATTATTATATATTTGGTGGCGGTTTAACTACTCAAATTAAAAATATATATATAAATACAGCTCCTTTAAGTACGTCTCTAAATGTGCCCATTACACATCTTACTTTTACAATAAGGAGAAAAAAAAACAGTGGAAAAGAAATGTTACCATTAAAACAGAAAACAATGACATTTGGCTTTGTGTGTGAACAGAGATTAGTGATTAGTCGTATCATTTCCTGTTCTCTTGTTTATTTGTCTGTAACAGTTTTAACCTCTTTAACCCTGTACTAACCTGTGCTGTGTCTGCATGTGTCCTGTCCTCTCTCTCTTATGTGTGTGTGTGTGTGTGTGTGTGTGTTTGTACGTTCGTATGTGTGTGTGTTTGTGTGTAGACATTGAGACTTTTCAGAGAGCCTCTTTCTATGACAATGTCTCTGGGCTGCAGGAAGCTCCAGGTGAACCATAGGAACTTAAGTATGTCAACTGTGATCAAAGTTATTTATGTTTTGTATGTTTCTGTATTTATGTTATTTCTATACTCACCATTTTACACTAATATATTCACGTAGAGTCTGGTTGAGTACTCACTTCTCACCCTGTAGTTTATTTAGACGTCTACAAACCTGTTGGGAAGTGCATGAGTTTCTTGTCTTGGTTTAAAGGTCCTACATTACGCAAACTTGACTCTTGTGAGTTTTAAGTTCAGTTACAATTTTAGTTGTTACCTCCTCAAAAACAAACCTGGAGTTGTGTTTTGTTTCATTCACACCAGAAGTTGGGACTTGCAAGTTGTGAGTCAGACTTGAGTCACCAATTTTGGGACTTGAGACTTGACTTGATAAAATGGACAAAGACTTGGGACTCAAAGGAGACTGACTTGAGATTTGATTCGGACTTGAGGCCTGTGACTTCAGAAGACTTGATGCTTCTCCTAAAAGAATATGTTATTTGAAAATACTTTTCTCTTTACAGTTGATAAATGCGGTGTTGAATTTTACAG